CAACGACCACACAGATTAAGAGGAGACATTTTAGTTTACATTTTATTTCAGCTAATTTTCTTCATGTCTAAAGTCCATTTCTCTATCAATTTATTCTAAACACAATCTTCCTTTGCGGATGTGTTGTTAAATGTGTTGTTAAATGTTGTTAAATTCTAAACACAATCTTCCTTTGTTGATGTGTTGTTAAATGCCATGGACTTGATTTTGACTCTTAACAACCCTGTGTAGGATTTCCAAAGAGTGGCAGGTGAGTTTGAACTGTGGTCAAGCTGACCTTGAGACCCAGTGTTTTATCCTACAGTGCCACAAATAATACAATTTAAATACACACACACATACACACACACACACACACACACACACACACACGCACATTTATGGAGAAAGAGAGTCCCGGAATATGATAAGCACTAGAATGCAAGGTCTGTCTGAGCTATAAGGTTGGAGGTTTAACTCACCAGCCACTCCTTGGAAACCTTATACGGGGTCGCTATGGGTAGGAACTAACTCAACTGCATTTACCAATAACAACATATACATACAAATAACAACAACATATATATCTCACAATCACTATATACCATTACCATTTGTAATTAATTTATGTTAATCCTAGAAAAGTACTGCTTCAAATTAAAATATTAAAGGAGTACAACTGTTATCACAAATACAATTTAGTAATATCTTATGTGGTAAATAGATCTGTTTTAACTCTCTCAGTATATGGATGCAATTTAAATATCTCTCAGTTATTAAGTTCCTTCGAGTCAGTTTTGACTCACAGCAACCCTGAGCAGGGTTTCCGAGGAGTGGCTGGTGAGTTTGAACTGCCAACCTTGTGGTTCAAACCAACCTTGCGGTCCAACACATCATCCTGCAGGGCACAGCATCCCAGCCCTGCTGTTGTTGTTGTTATGTGCCGTGGAGTCAGTTCCATCTCATAGTGACCCTGTATAGGGTTTCTGAGGCTGTAAATCTTTATGGGAGCAGAAAGCCTCATCTTTCTCCTACAGAACAGCTAGTAGTTTTGAACTGCTGACCTTACGGTTAGCAGCCCAATTTGTAACCACTAAGCTACCAGAGCTCCTTAAAAAGTTAAAAATTTGCTTACTTGCTTTCTCCTTAAGAAGAGCAACTTGCTGCTTAAGATACTCAATAATTTGATCTGCTTCTGCCCCTTTCTGTTCCAGTCTCTTCAGAACAGCATCACTAGTTGCCATTTTTGCCAGGAAACGGCAGAAAATCCTAAATTAAGGGAAAAAAGTGACAAGTTATATGGTGGAAAGAATAAATTTATGATGCAATACACAGACAAAAAGCAGACTAAAAGGATAAACACTTTTTACTTTAACAGATCAGTCTGTTAGAAAAATTAGCTTGTACTGCAAGGTTGGTGGTTCAAACTTACCAGTTGCTCCTCAGAAACCCTATACAGAGTTTTTAAGAGTCAGACCTGACTTGACGGCACTTAACAAGAACAGAGTTAAGATTAAGGAAATGATATAAACAGATGTAATATTCAGTAGAACTAAAGGAACAAAGCAAATTTAAGTCTGAAGGTCTAGTGCAGGTCTTCTAAGGTTTGGTATAATAGTTCTCAGCTCTAGTTCAGAAGGCAAAACTATCCAGAATGAGTCATAAAACATACAAGTGGATAAGAATGTCAAAGAATAATTGGTTTATGAGATTGAAGTAAACTGTTCTAGTTTAAGGGAAAGGGAAAAAAGAAAAAAATTTCACTGGACCACAAAGTTAACTAAATGTGCTGCATTTAAAATATTTACAAGCAAAATCCTCATTTGGTTATGCAATAAGTAAGTTTTTCAGTAGTTTTTATAAACCAATGATGACATATATCCTATGTTGTTGCTGTTAAGTGCCATTGAGCATAACGACCCTGTATAGGAGCAGCTGGTGGGTTTGAACTGTCGACCGTATGGTTCTCAGTCTAGTACTGATCCTATGGTGTCACAACAGGAGTCCTTTATGATATATCATATTATCTTTAAGTATTTAATTGCCATAATTTTCAATATTACTACTAGAGAGGAAGCCTCTTTAAAAGAGAACGGGAGGACATTTTTTCTGCTAGGATAGTCAAATCTCTTGCAATTAAAAAACAAAAACAAAAATAAAATACTTTTGGGAAAATAACAGGAATGATCATAAAATGTATCAATTGTTAACTGGTAGTGGTGATTATGTACCGTGGAGTTGGTTCTGACTCATAGGAAACCCTGTGTAGGGTTTCCGAGGCTGTAAAGCCTCATCCTTTTCCTGTGGAACTGCTGGTAGTTTTGAACTACTGACCTTCAGGTTAGCCCAACTCATAACCACTACACTACCAGAGCTAGTGCCTACTTTTTCTCTATTCCTAGATAACTAATTATAGGTAAATACTATTGTTGTTGTTAAGTGCCAGTGAGTCAGTTCCGATACACAGTGACCTGTATCAGGTTTCCGAGGAGCCACTGGTGAGCTTGAACCTCTGACCCTGCAGTTCAGACCAACTTTGCAGTCTAGCACATTAACCCACAGCACCCACACCAGGATTCTGTAAATACTATACCAATATTAAAAACTTGTCTTCTGAGATCTAAGATTTTTGTTATTACTTTCTAGTAAATTGTATGTGCTAATTAAACTTTTCTTGAATGCTGAGTCATTTGTCATTTTAAGAATAGCATGGGTTATGAATAGTCAGAGATGAAGATGAATCACCAAATATATGTGCTATATCATTCAGTATATAATACTGCTTTCACAGTTTCTGAAGGAATCAGGTTAAAATATACTAAAGTACAAGGGGGATTCAAACAGTTTTTAGAAAAATTCCACTATCTTTTCATTCATTCCATTTTCTCATAAACTTCTTAAGACCACCTACTGCTAGTTCTAAAGATGGATTTGAGATCTTAAAAATTATAGTTTATGTTTTAATGGCAAAAATGTTATAAACTGAATATATAAATTTAGAAACTCAACATTAGTTTTAAGTATACCAATCTCTTTAAACTTTATTTGGAGATTAAACACAATTTTTTAAGTTTAATCATGTAAATTGGATTGAAGAGATAAAATCAACCGATACAAAGCTCACTTCTAAACTTATTGAAAAAATAATAACAACTCATTTTTGCTGAAAATCGTTTTACTGAACTAATTGTATATATGATCAGCTGTCCTGTGTACTGTGGGTTAATGCATTGGATTGCAAAGTTGGTTTGAGCTGCAATCTAGCTATCTTTTCCCCATCAGTCTGTGGTTTGTTTTCTTTTTAAAAAGGGAGCAATAGGAAGTATCTAGTTACTAGGAGCCATTGGTAGCGTAGTGGTTACGAATTGGGCTGTGAGCTGCTCGGTCACCAGTTCGAAACTACCAGCTGTTCCGCGGGAGAAAGAGGAAGCTTTCTGTTCCCATAAAGATTTACAGCCTCAGAAACCCTGTACAGGGTCACTAAGAGTCGGAAACGACTCCACGGCACATAACTACAACAAGGAGCCATCTGAACTACAAGGTCAGTGGGTTCAAGCTCACCAGCAGCTCCTCGGAAACCCTATAGAGGGTGGCTATGGATCAGAACTGACTCGGCAGCATTTAACAACAACAGGAGCAGGGGGATTTATCCTTCCATTGCCCCCCTTTCCTAATTGTGGGTCACCAACTATGGACTGAAAGAAAGTAGGGACAAAAGGTGGAGGAGCCCCAGACTGTGGCAGGCTCTTCAGCAAGGACTTAAGTGACTCCAGCAGGTGAGAGGGGACAGTCACAGCAAACCCACCATCAAGGGGGAAAGAGAGATGCCTCTCAGTTTCTCTTGTGGAAGAGTTTCAGGATTAGGACACTGATCAGGTTCAAGTGGTTCTGCCCCTCACATGATATTGTGTGTTTCTTTATGGAAATGGGACAAGGCCAGTCCTTACTGGTAGACAGTCCTTTGGGACGTATCTTGAAAGGAAGGAAAGACCCTACACTAAGAATGGACAACTTAAATTTTAAGAGGAAGATGATTTTCCTTTGTAATACAGCTTGGTCCCTGTACATATTGGGCAACTCAGTGGTCTGGCCATCCAGTGGGTCCACCAAGTACAATACCATCCTTCAGTTAGATCTTTTTTGCAAAAGACAAGGAAAGGGGAGCAAAGTCTCTTATGTTCAGGCTTTCATGCACCAAAGAGAACATTATAACCAAGGCACGGGTGAAAGGTGCAGGGCTCCCCTGAGCTCTCAGAAGGGTGTCAGCTATCCCTAAAGGAAACTAAAGGCAGTCCTCCAGCTTATAGTCCTCTCAGCAACCCCTGAGGACCAAATGCTGCTTCCAACAAACAGCACCACAAGGAATATACCCATCCCTGTGGGACTTTCAGGAAGTTCTTGGTGTTGTTTTGTTTTAAGTGCTGTTGAGTCAATTTCAACCCATAGCGACCCTGTATAGGGTTTCCAAGGAGCAGCTCGTGAGCTTGAACCACCATCCTTGCAGTTCAAATGACTTTGAAGTCTGATGCATTAGCCCACAGCGCCACACCAGGACTCCCTTCAAGAAGGTGTTGTTATTAAGTGCTGTCAAGTCGATCCTGACCCATAGCAACCCTGTATAGGGTTTCCAAAGAGAAGCTGGTGAGCTTGAACCACCAACCCTGCAAGCTAAATGAGCAGACTGTGAGAGTGCCTGACCCTTCAGTATGGGAGCTTTAAAGAACTGTGAAGACAAATTAGGACGCTTCTCCATAGACATTTATGGGAATTCATTGAGGAATTTCAGCATCTAGCAGGGAATTCTGATCTAACCTGGAAAGAGGTAGTGATCTTACTTGCTCACTGCTGCATTGTGGATGAAAATCGCCAAATAAGCGCTGCAAGACACAAAGCAGACCACACCCAAGAAATGGCCACCCCAGATCAAGACCCTGGGTGGAATTACTAAACTGGTTAAGCAGGGAATGAAGGTAGAGCGGCAGGAGACTACGCAGTAAGGTGCTAACCTATCAGGCATGAGGGAAATTCAGGTTAAGCCTGTCTATTACTCAAAGCTAGATGAAATCACTTAGAATTAAAATGAGAACCCAGCAGCCTTCAAAGGCAGATTAGTAGATGCAATTCAGAAATATATCAATCTAGATCCTGAATCTCCAGAGGTTTATAAATCAATTTGCCCTAGATAGAAGAAGGAAGTCTCAATGAACTGCTGCTAGCTGCCACCTCAGTGTACATTAACTGCAACCAAGATGCAGAGGTGAAAGATCCGCCCAAAGTCAAAATTTACAGGAGCCCCTATTGAGGCCGCTCTTAATCCCTGAGTGCCACAAGATTGTCCTGGCTGGTTAGGCCCAGGCCCCAGGTTTGGAGAAAGCTGCTCTGGCTGTGGAAAACTGGGACATGTACAGGGTGAGTGCCCCAACTGGACCATTAAGAATGCTAAAGAGGAGGGTAGAAGATGCCTTCCCACCTGCTTCCAGTGTGGGTTCATGGGCCACCTCACACTTAGATGCCTAGGAAAAACAGGGAAATGGACCTTACTGAGTCATAAGACAGACTGGGCCCAGGTTCCAACATGTTCCCAAGCAAGCAGATCAAAATCCGGCCTGAGGAGCCTGGGCCCGTGCACATGGAGGTTACCTGTAAGCCACTATCTTTTCTTGTTGACACGGGGCAGCATATTCGGTTTTCATAAACTTTGGTGGTCATAACCCTCCTCTTGTATTGATACTGGAATTGATGAATCATCAGCCTGAAGTTCCTCATCCCACTTCTGGCCTATAGCTGCCAGGGGATGTTATTGGCACACCAATTCCTCATTATTTCCAATTTTCCTGGCCCTCTGATGGGTCAGGATTTTTTTTATAAGTTGGGAACAGTATGACTTTTACCCCTGTAGTCCAGATACAGGAGTCCTGTGTGTGGCGCTATGGGTTAATGTGCAGGACTGCTAAATCAGCTTGAACCACAAAGTCTTCAGTTCAAGCTCACCAGCCGCTCCTTGGAAATCCTATACAGGGTCACATATATGGGAGGGAAGCAACTCGATGGCACTTAACAACATCAACAGTCCAGATGTAAGCAATACAGGAGGAACTGCCATAGAAGAGTGACATTCTTCCTTAGCTGTAAGATTTGGGCAAATGGAAAACCCATAAGCGCCTATATGTCGTTGTTGTTAAGTACTAGTGAGTCAGTTCTGATTCAAAGCGACTCCAAAGAGCAGCTGGTAAGCTTGAACCACTGACCTAGTGGTTCATAC